GCTGCCTGTTTGCTTCATTGTCTCCTAAGCAAGCTTGGTCAGGGACTCATTCACAGTGAAAACAGAGGATCTGAAGGATCAGATATGAGTTTGATGGGCAAACATCTGGGCAGCCACATGAATGAAACGGGAAATGAGTGCTGGTTATGGTGGGGTTTCTTCCAGTTCTCTTTCAAGAACAAACATTGACATTTGTGCCAATACGTTACAGACCTGTTGGTATTTTGCTCTTGAGCAGGTTGTGAGCGTCTGCCCAAATGCCACTGAATTTCACTGCAAGAAAACAAGGCAGCTTTAGCAATTAACTTTCTCCATGTTAATTGACTTCCAATTAACCTGCCAGAAATGCCTGTAATGCCAATGTCATGTCTAAAAATAGACCCTATTTCTTTAATTGATTGTGTAATCTCAGTCTCCATCATCTGCAGCTTTGTGCTCATTACAAGGAGACCTGAATTGTCAGCCAGAATTATTAAATGTAAGAAGTTCTCAATAGTAATTAACATTTAACCAATTAAAGTTAAATATGTGGACGGAGCTATGATCAAGAAGTTATTAACTCTTGGCTTTGCAATCAAACTGTGGCTTTGTTTTTCAGATGGAAGGAGATGGAAGGCATTCCCACGCAGGACACAACACACACATGGGATCCCAGGGCTTACAGCCACCATCCGTGGCCATGGGTATCATCCCCTCTGACTGTTGGGGGTGGCTGTTTGCTGCTGTCCTCCAGGAAATCAGCTTATCCAAGCAACAGAAAAGCCAGGTTTTGCTGATTTGCCTCTAGAGTTTATGCAGGCATCTTAATCTTTGGCACCAGAAGTCATTTTGTGTTGGGAGATCTTTGAAATGTGTCTCAGGACAAAGACTTCTGGGCTGTGAATTGTATTAGCTTGTTTGTAGTAGCTACTGTAGAGTTGGTGTAGGATTAAATACCATGGTAGCTGGCTACCAGCTTATAAAGAGAAATCAACATATATAATGACAGAAGTATTGTAGTTATCCAGGGGACCATCACTGAAAGTATGTAGCTGCCTACCTGTGGTGGTCTAGTGTGCTAAATAGTAAATTGTCTAGATCTTCAGATGCCTAAGCACATGGACTTCAGTGACCTGTGCCTGTTCACTTTGTCTGACTTAAGTCTCTGTGTCACATAAGGTTAAACCTTAAGTCACATTCCAGCTGTTCCTGTGTTTCTGCAGGTTACAGCCATTATTCCATTATGCTCGTTTGAACATTGACTTAATTTTTAATTAGGCTCCTGTGCCTAATTGCTTGGGAAATACACCTCTTAGTAAAGATGTTGCTCCTTGCTACTGCTAAGAAGGTAAAGACCTCGTCACAAAACCATGTTGCGTTCTATAAACGTCTATGTTATAGCTCATTAGGCTGATATCTTGAAGTCATTTTGAATAATGGGGGTTTCTATTTAGAGCTTAACAGAAGAAAGTATTTCCTTTAAAAGGGACAATTAAATCATGGAAAACAATAATTTACTACTCTTGCTCTGACAGGCCAGACATCAGTTTGATGTTGTTCAGCTAACACTGCAATGGCGTTGAAAGTTGCCTTTCCCTCCCAAAACAACAAATGAGGTTTGATTTTTCTTCATTAAATGCATCATTAATTCCTCCTCCTCGTTTCTGTTTGTTTTCCATTCCATACTCTTCTGTTCCTGAAAATTTAACTCAGGCAGCACATCCATCACATTTTTGTAATTAGCATTTGGCAATATGAAGTCTTCCAGGCATTATCACTACTGCACGAATGCTGGGAGGTGGACAGGTCTATTTGCCTCAGAACTCTGCACTGATGAGACCCCCCTGCACAGTGTGCAATGCTGGTGTCCTCAACATAAGGACATGGAGCTGTTGGAGCAAGTCCAGAGAAGGCCATGAGGATGCTCAGGGGCTGGAGCAGCTCCTGTATGGAGCCAGGCTGAGAACATTGGGGCTGGAGAAGAGAAGCTGCGTGGAGACCTCAGAGCAGCTTCCAGTGTCTGAAGGGGGCTGCAAGGATGCTGGGGAGGGGCTCTTCATCAGGGACTGTAGGGATAGGACAAGGGGTGATGGGTTCAGACTGAAACAGGAGAAGCTCAGGTTGGAGATAAGGCAGAAGCTCTTCCCTGTGAGGATGCTGAGGCGCTGGCACAGGGTGCCCAGAGAAGCTGTGGCTGCCCCATCCCTGGCAGTGCTCAAGGCCAGGCTGGAAAGAGCCATAGGGTTTAGTGTGAGGCATCCGTGCCTATGGCAGGGTGACTGGGACTGGATGATCTTAAAGTCCTTTCCAACCCAAACCATTCTATGATTCTATGACTATGGTACAAGGTGAGGAGTCCATTGTGCTGCCTCCATTTACTCCTAGGAGCTAGGGTGAATTTAGCTTTTTGATTCAAGCAGCTGCATCCTGTGTCTACAACAAATAGCTGCCCTCCACGAAGCCACAGTCTGTCTGTCCAGCTTGGGTAATGATGCTTATCTCCTTTATAAAATCCTTTGAGATCTCCATTTGGGAAGTTTTATGTAGTAAGCATGATAAATTACAGCACTGGTTTTTCACGTTGGACTGGGATTCCAGCCAACTGCACCATGCAAGGTCGAGCAGTGTGTTCGGTAGTTGAGAGTCCTTAGCTGCCACCTTAGCCTAGGGGATTTTTCTTTGTGTACCCTACTCTCTGCTTTCCTTTCTTTCCATGGAACAAGCCTTTTCTTTTGCCTCCTTCTCAGACTGCTTTAATGGTTGTCCTCATTCTCTTTAATGATTTTAAATCACTGCTTTTGAGGTCCAGTTTATCTTCCCAAAATGTAGCGCCCTGACTGCACTGGAATGACTCCTTAATCCCCTTAGCCTCTCTGATCGCTCTGAACTAGAGTTAGATAAACCATCTCAGGTAGCATTTGATGTCTTTCAAAAAGCAGCTGAATGCCATAAAAGATCCATCACACTCTTCTTGGTGTCAAAAAGGTTTTGCTGTTAAAGATTAGGGAGCTGGAGGTCACTCCAAATCACAATATTGTTCACTTTATAAGCCCATTTTATCCTATCATCTGGTATTACGCTTTCAAGTTGAGTCCGTGGCATATATCAATTCCTTGCCCTTCAGTCCTTTTAAGCACTAAGGTTTAAGCTCTGATTGATTCATTATACGTCTCCAAAGTCAAACAATTTATCTTTTCCACTGTATTTTATTGTATTTTATATGGGCCTGACTTAGAAACCTGGAGCACAACATTGAGTTCTGTTTGCTTAAGAATCCCTGTAAATACAGGGTATTTTTACATCCATGAAAAGAGGCATCTGCCCATGCTTTGATCCACTATTCAAACTTGCAGCATGCCTTATGGGAATTCTAGTGGTGTTTTGCTTTGCTTTTATAGTGTAGTCGATTTCCAGTTCTGATTTTCACCCTTGTTCTTTTATTCAGCCCTCATTTCATTGTTTCTCTTCATGTTTTTAAGCCAGTTAAAATAAGCACATGCCTGTATATATATATGGCAGTTTATGTGCCAGAAACAGGAATGTAAGTATCCACAGTTCTGTCTATATGCTAGTAACAATCAAGTTACTCAGTGCTTTATTGCTCAAGGCTTTATTGCTCCTGCCACTGCCTACCCACCATCCAGCCCTTTCTATATTGACTCAGAGACCACACCAGGCTTGTGAGAGCATAAATACCAAGTACAGCATAGGTTGAATCTCTACATGGGTTATAAGCCTTGCCCATGGGTTTGAGTTCAGTCTTTGAGATGTCTTCTTTCAGTTGATGGCCTTTGAGTGGGCATTAAGATATTATGAGACATGAATGTGGTGCTGCACCCTGCAACAGGCAAATGAGTTTTGTGATGTCCTGTAGAACAAACCCCCTTAGTTAAAGGTTTCCTTCTCTCTTCTTGATACTGGCTTCAACTGAGTGAAATAGCATTTTTATTACCCTTAGGAAGCTTGCCCCCCTTGATGCCCTTTCTCTTGACATACCCTGGCACTTGCTCATGCATTGTCTTCTTTCCTGCTAACAGATACTACAGTTTTTAAGCTTTGCCAATGAAAATGCCACGTTGAAAAGGCTCTCAGCAGTCTTCACTGTCACATTTAACATATCGGTTCACTTTAACAGAGCCCATAGAAGTTGATTTTGCATTAAGTGTTATGAAATATTAACATGTTTACACCACAGTGTTAGCCTACAGTTACACACAACGCTGGAGTGTTCCTTAACTGTGGTCTGGTTTTCCTAAGCAGGCTTCAAGCCTCGGATAATGGGCTTTTGTATGGCTTCTCCAAATGGAGATGCAGTTTCTGATGGCAAAGGCTCCTCGTCTGCTTCAGTGCTCTGTCAAACAAGTTCCTCCAAGCAATACTGCAGATGCTTTGAGCACTTTTGTGCTGAACCAAAGCCTCTGGGCAGTAGCCCTGTCTCAATATGTAAGTAGGTATCAAATCCTGCCTGTAGGGAAAGCTTTGGCAAACAAAGCTACACAGGAATTGGCTGGTTTCATATTAATCCTTCAGTCTGTATGTGTTCACCTGGTAAACCTCAAGTCCTCTTTTGGAGTGAATGGTGTGGCAGTCCTGGCTGATGTGCACAACAGATCTGGGCACAAAGCTCGATAAAACATGGTGTGCTAATAAGAAAACGTGTGGCAAATAGATCCTGAAAGGACCAAGAAATAAAGCTTCAGCTTACACAGTAGCCGTGGTTATTCTATAGGGCATATCTCAAAGTGAACCTCACGTCTCATTTTCTGTAAGTGGAGTTATAAATGCCAGCTGAGCATCTAAAATACTGGAAAACTTTCTCCATGGTTTTCTGCACTAAGAATCTTATCATCCCCAAACTCATTTGGGGCAGGATCACCCAAATTAGCATAACGAGCTGATAAGTTAATCAAACTCAGTCTGGAGACAATTAGGAGCAATCACATCCTGTTTCTGTTGGTGGAGGGTGGTGGTGATATCTTTTAAATACAGGGTGTGGAGAAGAAGCTTGATGTATTAGCAGTTTGGCCTGCTGAGATCTGAAGGTTATGCTGTGACTCCAGTAGAAATATAGAGCTTTCATGGTGAGAAAACACTCTTTATGCAATTTATGTTTGGTCTAATCTAACTTTCTGGTGGTGTTGCCCTTGATGGTCCTCTCTGAACCTTGCTTTCTGAGTTCAGGATTGTATTAACGATAGTTGTGTGCTACTGAGTACCTGTCCTTCCTTCTCACATTTATCTGCCTTTGGTCAATCTGAAAGGATTCATACATTCAGTTGGAAAAAGAACTAATTCATGTGGTGAAATGGGAGTTGGTTTACATGGCTTTTGATGAGAAACTTAACATGAGCTGGCTTCAGTGTGCACTCACAGCCCAGAAACCAACTGTATCCTGGGCTGCATCCAAAGGAGCATGACCAGCAGGTAGGAGGAGGTGATCCTGCCCCTCTGCTCTGCTCTTGTGAGACCTCACCTGGAGCATTGTGTGCAGTTCTGGTGTCCTCAACATAAGAACATGGAACTGTTGGAGCAGGTCCAGAGGAGGCCATGAGGATGTTCAGGGACTGGAGCAGCTCCTGTATGAAGCCAGGCTGAGAACATTGGGGCTGGAGAAGAGAAGCTGTGTGGAGACCTCAGAGCAGCTTCCAGTGTCTGAAGGGGGGCTATAAGGGATGCTGTGGATGGACTCTTCATTAGGGACTGTAGTGACAGGACAAGGGGTAATGGGTTAAAACTTAAACAGGGGAAGTTTAGATTGGATATAAGGAGGAAATTCTTTCCTGTGAGGGTGGTGAGGCACTGGAATGGGTTGCCCAGGGAGGTTGTGAATGCTCCATCCCTGGCAGTGTTCAAGGCCACGTAGGACAGAGCCTTGGGTGCCATGGTTTAGTGTGAGGTGTCCCTGCCCATGACAGGGGGTTGGAACTGGATGATCTTAAGGTCCTTTCCAGCCCTAGCTATTCTCTGATTCTATGTACTTACTCCCTGGGCAGCATGGTTCTTTCTTCTGTGTTAAATAAAGTAATACACAATATTGTATCACTATTATGTTGCTAAATGAGGATGTGGGAAAGTGTCTGCTCTTGGGGGATGCTTCTTGCACTGGATAAATATTTAAATATCACGATAAAAACCTTTTTGTTTAATTAGTGTTTAAATTATGCTGGGAATTATCCAAAGCGCAGTACCTTTGTTTCCACAGTAAGTCATTGCAATTCAGCATGGATATGAAAAGTCTGATATAATAACAGAGCCCAAGGGGCTGCAAGCTTCAAAGTACAGTTTGTTTAGAGTGCAAATTCCAGGTAAGGACCCCCCTGACTCTCCCAAATGAAAAGCTCAAACTCATGTGTTGGGAATGTAAATCATAGAAGACTTTTTCCTGTGTTCTCTTGCCTGCTTTGCTGCAATGCATGTTTGCTATGGAAGACTTGACAAATCTGTGTAGCCACAGAGGTTGATAGTAGATGATCTAATCAGGGCTGTTGTAAGGTCAAAATCAAGCTTTTCTGTTCTCATGCTAGTCATAGCTCAGTAACATTATGGCAAATGTTAGGAAATTAATTTAGACTTTGATTCCCTTTTAACCCAATTGAAATGCATCGTATCCATCCTCCTGATCCTTATTTGCATTTATGGCAAAGAGATGGGAAGGAGAACAGAAGCTGACTTCTGGGTTTCAAATCTCCCAGTGGGAAAACAACATTTCTCCCAAAGCACAGTTTTACTGGGATGGGCAGAGGTTTTCCTCCACCTTTATTAACACTAGAGAGTTGAAACCCACAATACTTCCAAGAAATCTGGTTTTAAGGGTTCAAAACCATTTTATATGTCCCAAGTTTACTTGTCATTTTAATGTTGTTACTGGAGACCAGTAATGAGTGGTGTCCCTCAGGGATCAGTGTTGGGACTGGTCTTGTTCAACATCTTCATCGCTGACATGGACAGTGGGATTGAGTGCGCCCTCAGCAAGTTTGCCGATGACACCAAGCTGTGTGGTTTGGTTGATCCGCTGGAGGGAAGGAATGCCATCCAGAGGGACCTTGACACGCTTCTGTGGTGGGCTGATGCCAGCCTCATGGAGTTTAATCATGCCAAGTGCAAGGTCCTACACCTGGGTCGGAGCAATCCCAGGCACAGCTACAGGCTGGGCAGAGAAGAGATTCAGAGCAGCCCAAGGAGAAGGACTTAGGGGTGTTGGTCGATGAGAAAATGAACATGAGCCAGCTTCAGTGTGCGCTTGAGCCCAGAAACCACCCATGTCCTGGGCTGCATCCAAAGGAGCGTGACCAGCAGGTTGGAGGAGGTGATCCTGCCCCTCTACTCTCTCCTTGTGAGAGCTCACTTGGAGCATTGTGTGCAGTTCTGGTGTCCTCAACACAAAAAGGACATGGAGCTGTTGGAACAAGTCCAGAGGAGGCCACGAGGATGCTCAGGGGCTGGAGCAGCTTCTGTATGAAGACAGGCTGAGAAAGTTGGGGCTGCTCAGCCTGGAGAAGAGAAGCTGCGTGGAGACCTCGGAGCAGCTTCCAGTGTCTGAAGGGGGCCTATAGGGATGCTGTGGATGGACTCTTCATTAGGGACTGTAGTGACAGGACAAGGGGTAATGGGTTCAAATTTAAACAGGGGAAGTTTAGATTGGATATAAGGAGGAAATTCTTTCCTGTTAGGGTGGTGAGGCACTGGAATGGGTTGCCCAGGGAGGTTGTGAATGCTCCATCCCTGGCAGTGTTCAAGGCCAGGTTGGACAAGGCCTTGGGTGAGATGGTTCAGTGCGAGGTGTCCCTGCCCATGGCAGGGGGTTGGAACTTGATGATCTTAAGGTCCTTTCCAACCCTAACTATTCTATGATTCTATAAGTTCTGGAGAAGACAGAGGTAAGAGTGTGTTTTTTGTAAGGCTCTCAGCTCGTGTTTCCTAAACTAGCTTGCCATTAGAAAATAGCTCAGGAAACAAAAAGAAAAGCTCTTCCTTGGTTGTGAAATACAGTTTCAAATACTTCTTTCAAAACCACTTGTTTCCAGGAGGGTCTCCAGGGAAGCTTTGCAACAGAAATGTTGAAATCGCTGTCAAAAGGGAATCATGAATTTTGATTGTATCTCAGTGTAGCAGCTTGAAAAGCACAAGGCAGTGCAGAGCAAGGATAAAGAAGACAAGCTACAAGAATCAGCCTTTTGTTAGGGGAAATACTTTCTCCTCTAACAGCTTATCCTCCCACAATGTGGGTACTATTCAAAGACTGGCTTTCTAAATCTTCCTGCGGCAAACTGCCTTGAGAACACCCGATAATGGTGCTTTGCCTAATGCGCTTCGCTAAACCCAGGCTGCGAAACCTTTTGGTTTAACAGAAATCCCTGTGCGGGGACACATAAGGTGCAGAATTTGCCATGAAACAAAGGAGTTGTGCGCTGGGTTGGACTCCGAAGAGCAGTTTAGGCTCGTAAATGGCTATTTATTTCTCTTTGGCACTAGATGGGGCTAAGGGACTATCCAAGAAGTGGGAAAGCAACGGCTGAGCCCTAGAATGTGGAAACTCCCAGCAATAGCTCAGGAAAAGAGGAAGGAAAAGGCTGCAGAGACAATCGATGCTGTTGAAGTCCCTTCACTCACTCGGCTTCGTGACAGAGGAGCAAACAGAATCTGACTCCTAAGGTATTGGTTTGTCAGCACTTCTGAAAGGCCAGGGGCATGTTTGAAGAAGGGGTAAGGACTGAACCCTGAGCAGCAGCACTCATGCTATGAAAGCATAATTTGCTTCCAAACAACCCTTGAACTGAGCCTTTCCCTGTGTGTTATAAAGGGGTCTTTCAAGGAGCAGCAACCAACGTTCCTCAGCCCCTAAACCTGCAGCATCCAGGAATGGCAATGAGAAGCTCAGTGGAAAGAGTTGGTTTTGATGGAAACAGAAGCATATTGCTGGCCCCTCTGATTTCAGTGCCTTATTGAGGGGCTTCTTGATGCTGCTGCTTAAAGATGCAAGGGAAAATTGGCTTTTAACATACACAAGAAACTTCCTATTCAGATTGTTATTCACTGGCCTTTCACCTCATGTCCTGTCTGGGCAAAAGCCCTGTTATCAGCCAAAACAGGGAAATACGATGCTATATTCTGAATCACAATATCCCTTGACTGTCACAGTTAAGGATCTTAGCCATCCTTATCAATCCTATTATCAAGATCTGCTATTGTGCCAGGTTTTGCCCATATGAATCTGTTTGTGTCTGCAAGCAAAGACTTCAGTAAGACTGGGCTGTTTTCTCCTTTGCTCTATGAGTGTGAATGATACTGCTTAAGGTCTGACCTGTCAGTCTTAGGCCAACTTCAAATTGCTTGAGGATGTAAACATGAGCAAAGACACCCAGAGCATTGAATCTGAATGCCTGATGTACCTGGTGAGAGATTATCTGGTCTGGTTGCATTATTGCTTGTATTTGAAATCTTTTAGCAGCAGGGTTTCTTCCCTTATTTATTGTACAAGTGCTTAAGTGTCAAATAATAGCACAGGGGTGATGGAGCATGATTGCCATTTCCTTCAGGATGGTAGCCAGCCTCAGCTTGTGTGTTCTTGACTTTGCAACTGATCTAGGGCTCCTTTTGGCATGTGATTTGTACCTTCCTCCTTTTGTCCAGCTTGAGTGTGAGTGGGATTGGGATGTTTGTGTGGCTCTGGAGCTGCCTTTCTTTAGTGCTTGTGCAAATCCTCCATCCTTTTCCTCTCTTCATCACCAGTTAGTGGGCATTCCTTTTTAATGGGTAAGGGGTGGGAAGATGGAGGAGCATCCTGCTGGAATCACACACTGATTTGGCATTAGACAAGCAGAAGCAATATCAAAGAGAGCAGCAGGAGGTCTGATGCCACCTCTCTTCCTCCCATGCAAGTTTTAATTACAGCTCTGGACCTGGCTGAGACATGTCATTGGGCACAGCTTCTTTAGAACTAAAATCGGCTTCCAAGGAGGAAGCATCTGTAGCAAGATGTGGAAACTCCAATGCATTGTGTAGAGGTGATTCTGGGTAGAGGTTCAGAATTAAGCTACACCTCATAGCAGGGCAAAGAAAGCCAACTATAAATCTTGTTTTATGTGTTTATCTGTCTTTTCCTTGCTTCTGGGGAATGGTGACAGGCAGCTCAAAGAACTTGTGCTTGTGAGAGCTTCTTGGGTTTTGTCAAGAGACTGCAGTTGGTTTCCTTGCACTGGGATAGGTGATGTTTTGGAAACGGAGAATTACTTGATACTTATCTAACGGAAAGTTTCAACTGGAAAATTTCCCAGTTGAAAACCCTTCGGAATGGGTGGAAAGTTATAATTTGATCAAGCAAGGAGTGAGGCTTTGCAGTGTTCCACCTGGATATTGCCGTACAAAGGCTCTCTTGGTCTTTCTACCTTGTTTAGATCATAGAATCCGAGACTCATCTGTGTTGGAAGGGACCTTAAAGCTCACCCAGCTGCCACGGGCAGGGACATCTTCCATAGAGCAGCTTGCTCCAAGCCCCTGTGTCCAACCTGGCCTTGAGCACTGCCAGGGATGGGGCAGCCACAGCTTCTCTGGGCACCCTGTGCCAGCGCCTCAGCACCCTCACAGGGAAGAGCTTCTGCCTAAGAGCTCAGCTCAATCTCTCCTTTTAAAGCCACATGATACTTACCTTAGTAAATACCCTTCCCTTCTCTCATCACAAGTCACTGTGTGACCATTATCTTATTCCTCTTCTTTCCTAAGCCTTATTGTAATAAAGCATAGAGTCACAGCTGGAATGGGAATGGAAAATTGCAGCTGCAATTAAACCTCCCTTTTCAAAGCCTTTGCAGGTTTTTTTTGTGCTGGTTTTGGTTGTGGTAGAGTTAATTTTCCTCACAGTAGCTACTATGAGCAGTTTGGGATTTGGAGGAGGAGGGGGTGAGCAAGTGGCTGTCTTTTAGTCAGGTAATGCCAAAAGAGTGGAGATGAACATTTCTTTGGTGTTTGGGCTATATGTACAAATGCCTTTAACACTTGCTTCATGAAGTAGAGGTTTTGCAACAGCAGCAGGGATGCTGTCAAAGCAACAGGCAAGCTTTATTTTAGACATTGGGGTTTTGCTTGAAACATCAGTTTGGGACATTTAAAATCATCTGCTTTGAAACTTCTGAAACTCTCTCACTACTGGGACTAAATTCTCTGTTATCCTCAATCCCTTTTCATGTGCTCTTGTAAAATAAAGAGCTTCCGTATGGGCAGAAATGGCCGTGTTGAAAGCTGTCTGAAAGCTGTACACTGGCACAGCTCCCAGCGTTAAGATGGTTTAGAGGCAATGTCAGAGCATGCTTTGCAGTAGTTATTTCTGGGGATCATGTAAAGAAATGGGAAACAGAGTGTAAACCAGAGCAGCCTAGGGGGTTAGGGCATAGCCTGGATCCATTCTTGGAATGGGATGTGTGGAGAGCAGTAATGATTATAAAGCCTGCAGAGAGTCACGTATGCTTTTAAACCTTCTTTTCCACACTGGCTGGTTTTAGCTCTCAGCTGTTCTCTTATTTACCCATGCTATACCAGAAATAAGCATTTTTCTGTTAACCTTTGATGGAAAATAGAACTTGAACAGCTCCCAAAAGGTTTTCTTGAGGGAAACCTGTCCTCTTAAACTTCTGAGCACCCTGAGGTCTCAAAGGCAGAGCTTGAATGTCATTTTACACCTACTGACACTCAAGTCCTTCTGTCTGTGTCCTACCTGAAGTCTGTCTTTGGTTTTTCAACTCAGGGTGGGTAAAGCACAGAGTCTTTGGCCTTGGGCCTGAGAGATCCCATACAGGGAGATAGGAAAGAACTACCTATAGGAACCCTAAATCTGTGGTAGGATATAAATCCCATCAATGGACTGGCTTTGCTGACACCATGCTCAGTCCAATAGTAGCTGAATGTGTATCTCTGATGCGAGACCAGCTTTAAAAGACAGAGCCTTTCTAAAAGAGATGAGTCTTGAATCCTAAGTCTCACTGGGTAACTAACCCAAGTAACATGTTACATTATTTAGATTGTATGCAATGAAAAATACTCCATTGCTCACAATAGAAAGATTTCTTCATGTCTACTTGTTTCTGCTGTAAGGCTGATGGATCTGTAATGTACTGCATAATTAAACATTGCAGAGGTATTGCTTTGGAGGGAAAGCAAGTAATGAAGGGGATATAGTGAATTTTGGTGATTAGAGATACAATGGTTTAGCCCAAGAACAGGATGATCTGCTCTGCTGATTAAAAAATATCCAAAAGAACACCATTTTGATTAAGCTCTGCTAGCAATGGATTAGGTTATTAAACCATATTTTTCCATTAATAAAACAAATGTTAATGCATTGTTTGATACTAATAATGAAACCATTGTGAGAAGCACAGCTACTTCCATTACCATTTATCACCTCATTCACTACATTTCGCCAAGGCAGGGGTTGAATTCAACTCTCTTTTTTTATGAGGGTGGCTTGGGAAGGCAAAACACTGCAGGAACTGTGCTCCCTCCTTAGGCTGCTTTATGTTTGCTGTGTTCTCATGGACAAAGCTGCTCCAAGGCCTATAGAGAGCTGAAGTTTAAATACAACCCATTGAACCATCTGCTACACCACATCACTGGCTTCATTAAATTGTATTAATTCATAGTAGAGTGAGTCAAGGAAAAAAACCTGCTGAATTCCTCCTGTTTCTAGAGTCTATTAGCAGGCTGTAAAATGCTCCACCAGCTATCATGTTGCTGCACAGATAAAGATCTACTTGTCCTACAGTTTTTGCACTGCAGTTTGTATTCAGCATGACAATAAACCTTGCTTTAGAATTTACCCTGTCCACCGTGGTTGGATCTGGCCGACTTGCATGTGCCCTGAGGTGGGCATGTATGCATTGATCAGGGAATGAAGATGTTTAATACCTTGTCCAGCTTTTTAATAACTTGGGTTAGAGAATCATGGAATAGTTTGGGTTGGAAAGGAGTTTAAGATCATCCAGTTCCAGCTCCGCTGCCATGGGCAGGGACAGCTCCCAACCATGTCAAGGTTTTAATACCTTGTCCAGTAGTCAGGAGAAAGTCCTCTGAGCTCAGGAGGAAGACTTCTGATGTCTTCAGCAGGCCTCAAATAGGGTGCTGCTCACTGCAAGTCAAGGGTCTGAGTCTTTTTCCCACCTCTTTCCACCAGAGTTGGTTGTGCATCAATCTGTTTATCCTTGGCAATGTTGTCAGATAGCTGGGGAGAGGACAGGAGGTAAAGCGCCTGCGTGCTCTTTATCCATCCTGTCTTAAAGCTTTGTGCAGGTACTGGAACTGTAGATGCTATAATGCAAACAACTATAGCTGCAGATGAAATCTGGAAACACCAGCTTAAGGGAATGGCTGGAATCCTTCCCCCTCAGTGGTTTTGGTAATGCTGCACATGAAGCTTCCCCTACAACTGAGTTGCAGGGGCCACAAAGAGCTCTCTGAAGCTGTTAGTGCTGGGGTTCAGTATGAGATGTTGTCAAGGTCTGCTGGAGCTTTGAGGACAGGGGCACAAATAGGATGTCGCAAATACAATGTCAGCAGCTTCAATCAGAAAGAAATGAAGTCCAAAGATGTTCCTGGGTATGTGAGGGCTGCAGCCCACAGCTGTGCCCTCTTTATACAGAGCAGCAATTTAGTCTAAAGGACTAGAAAGGAAGCACAGTTGGTGAGTCGAAGGCATAGATACCCATAACCAAGCAGGTTCAATGAAAAGCTGCTGTGCTATTAAGGAGAATAGTGCTGATTTCTCTAACAGCATGATTGTACCAGTGCTAAAATAGAACAGTTTATAAATGCAGCTCAAATAGTCAACAGGCATTTGCTGTGATGCTCCAGAAGCCTGTACACACCTTAATTTGTCTTATCAAAGAATAATCTGTTGTGCCAAGCATTGGAAAAACACTTGATTAAAAAAGCAATTCAAGTATGAATGCTTGCATCTGAATAGTATAGAAATGGTATTTATTTTAGTAATGAGTGAATTTGGTAATGTGGCCTGCTTTTAGAGTTGCATCAATGACTCCTCTTTGAGCAGGCTTAGACACCAGTGAATCATAGAATGGTTTGGGTTGGAAAGGACCTTAAGATCATTCAGTTCCAAACCCTGCCATAGGCAGGGATGCCTCACACTAAACCGTGCCATGAAAGACTCCTTCTAACTTGGCCCTGAACGCTGCCAGAGATAGGGCATTTATCACTTCTCTGGGCACCCTGTGCCAGCACCTCAGCACCCTCACAG